GTGTAACTCCCAAGGGCCACCTGAATCCATTGATTGGCGTCATTAGAGCGAGCTGACCATGCCCCTTGTTTGCCTCCACCTGCCTTAAAGTGCAACCTTGCCTGGACTGCGGCGTGATTTGAATCCCACTCAGAAGAAGCGGTGATTTGAGCATCTTTGATGAGACGGGTTTCCATGCCAAGAGGTGCTGTACATTCTTATCAGAAGGAAGGTATGGAAATATGGTTTAAGTACGTTATTGCTTAGAGGATCGTTATATTATGCATTATAAGAAAAAAGAGAAGGTACCCTGTATTCTCGGTTCCTGCTTTGTCCTTTGTGGTTTCCTTGTTTTGCCATGTTTATTACTATGGTAACTTTCCACTACTTTTCTTATTTCTGAGCATCTTAGGAATGTGGGGTCCGGTCTTCTCTTTTTAATTTCGTGACCCCCAAATCGATCGTACAGCAGTATACTTTAAATGGCACAGTGGTATCAGTTACGCGTGCATTTACGTAAACTTAATAGTTATTAGCAGTCAGAAAAATTAAACAAGTCGTTTAATAATAAGTAATGTATCTAGCAGGAAACTTTTTAACGTCAAGGCAACAATTACCTTGTCACATACTGAACTGGCAACCAAAAAGAAGGTAGAGACTTCGAACTTGTTATATTTCTCCAGTTAACCTTTGATGAAGGCTGCCTTTGCTCTGCCAATAATTGAATCTTTAAATATTTGTCAGCAGAGAGATTTTGACCTAGCATTTTCTACCTCTTGAAAAGCATAATTTATTCTGCGGTCTAATTTACTGTTCAGTTAACGAAAGAAATTTGTATTTTTTCTTCGACCGATAACAAGTAGCGAGGTGGCGCTCGTAATGTTAAAAACTCTCAAAACTGACCGAAAGGAACAGATTACAGCCAGCAAAAACTATTACAAGTTCCTGAATTCCATTTTAGAAATCAGATTTCTTGATAAATTTACTGGTAGAAACGAAATTTGACGCTAATTTTTAATTAAGCTCTGTTATGTAAAATAACTAAAAATATTTACTTTGAAATTTTAAAGTGGAAATATTCTCTAGACTCTCCGCGTGGACGAATATTTATATTGCGGGATTTAGGCATAATGATCCAACAAGATAGCTAAAGTTTCCAATGCTCTCCTTCCTTCATTTGAAAACAATATTCTTTTTTTTGCGGAGTTACTCACCTTGTGAATCAGTTTGCAAGACCAAAACCGAAATTCCCACGAGGAATACAAACGCCCAGTGGAAAGGCTCCATGCCAGAGAAAAATCTGGATTATCCCTTCAGCAACTAACTTCTGATGATAATGTGAGCTCGGGTAGGGAACTGAAATGCGATGAAAGACCTGTTGTGTGAAAATGACTTTGGTCAAAGTGTTTACGTGTCTAATGTCAGATTAATGTATGTAGCGTACAGGTCTGTTTTTCGAGCTAGATTATCCAAACATTTCAGAAACATTACACTGAGGTATTGTCTCCCGATGACTTAATTTGTAGCTTGTATTAAAAAGAAACTCAAATGTTGCAATGAAAGAACAAACAGTTTTTGATCATGGGGCTTGCTGATGGATGCCTTGTTACACTATTTCATAGTTTCTGGACTGGTAAACTTTTGGGGTTTCGTAGACGTAATTTACTCGATTTGTTTTGACGTGACTGGATTTTTGAATAATCATAATACTCCTGCGAAGGACTGGCCCAAAGGAAGAAAACGAAGGCCTAAGGAAGGATAGTCCCCATTCGGGGGGATTAGAAATGCTTTCTTCGTGTCCGTGAAACCGAGACAAGCTTTTGCGGTACAGACACTTGCCCGATGCAGACTATTAATTCAAGAAAATTATCAATCTGAAAAGGAAGTACTTGTCTTGTCGCACCAGACGAAACAATAATGAATTTTAATTTTTGACATTAGGTGTTGAAGATTTAAGTAAACGCTTCAGTGTCTGCATAAGTAACTAGTTATTATTTCGGTTCTCTTGCCTCTTGAGATCACTTCCTCGATTAATTCTTGGCTTTTATTTGGTGTAAAACACACTTAAACACCGTTCCTTTTTAACTTTTTTTTTAGTTCCTGTTTAATAAGGCCATAGAGGAAGTTTATCATTATATGTTTGCTAATCTGCTTTTGAATGCCTTTTTACAACACGACTCAATGCCAACGCGATACAGAAACATTCATTCTTCTCGCAGCTTTGCTCCTCGTTCTGGAGCCACGAAAGCCCATCGATACATCCTAACGAAACCGCCAGCTAGCTACTCACAAATGTACAGCAGATCATGATGACATGAAAAACACTATAATTATACTAATTCAGTTCTATAAATCTGTCGGGAGATGCTGGCTTAAACAGTCTGGTCTGCGACGGGTTCCGATCACAGCGTTCCTATGTCATATAAAATTCTTCAAAAGTTGTCGCATAAAAACGAAATTAACTAGACGCTCTATAAATGTCAAA